TCTTATTCCGCTACAGCATTTTAAATCACTATTGAAAACCGCTTGCACAGAGAATTGTAACTGTTATTCTAGAGTCTAGTTTATGATTGATTTTATTATGTTGTTTTTATGTGTTTTTATATGTCTTATTGTACTGCTGCCTCTTGGCCAGGTCCCCCTCGAAAAAGAGATTTTATCTCAAGGGACTTCCTGGTAAAATAAAGGTTAAATAAAAAAAAATAATAATAATAATCTGTTGAATCTTAAATTCCTTTTGTTTTAAATTGGAATACAATAAAGAAACAAAAAGTTTAGAAATAGATAAAAAAAAAAAGTCTACATACTAATCATCAGTCATCCAATATTTCCCTGATTCTCAATTTACAATTTTTTGATGTAAAAAAAATGAACAATTAATTTATTGTAGCATATAACAATTTTTAGGTTTATTTAATTTTCCTGCAGGTTTTTATTTATTTTTTTGACCTGCTCCGCTCATTTCCATGTAGATCTGCTCTATCAAGCATTTTAAATAATGTCTAATAATTTTTAAAAGTTGAATTATTTCCCTAACTTTAGGGTCTTTATGCAAACCAATTTAATGAGCTACATGGAGCATGCACTCTGTTTGTCTAACCATGCAAACATAACAGCCATTATCTACATTACATTTTTCTGAGGGGCTGACTGCAGCAGGACTGGTGCAATGTTAGCAAAGAAATGCCCTAACTTGTAAGGGAGAGTTTATTAGAGGAAGTTGTGGTTCTTTGTATGTCTGGTCCATATTCAGTTCTGTCTAACAGGGCCACGGAACATGTGAGGACACTCTGATGCGGATCCTAGTGAGCCGCTCCGAGATCGATCTGCAGAAAATCGTAGAAGAATACAGGGCTATGTATGAGAACACCGTTCATGAGGACATTTTGGTAAAATGGTCGTTTCCAAATAATTTCTATGGGTATCTGTTTAATCCCAGTAATAATATCTTTTTTTTCCTGTTTTGTTTACAGAATGACACTAAAGGACATTATCAGAAAATCCTGCTCGGTCTGTGTGGACCTTACTGAAAGAGGACTTCCACCTCTTTAGGAACGGAAGCAGAAACACATAAAACAAATAAAGAAATCTGTTACATTTATGCCCTAATAAAGTCTCTTGTTCCGTTTTTTTAATCTTTAAACATTGCTGGTGTTTTTTTTTTTCATTTTCTTATTTTATTCTGCTCATCAAACATTTAAATATTTCTTTTTTTACTTGCTAAAAATTATTTCTGGGTTAATTTATTAAAATTGCCTTTTAATATAAGGGCAGATCCAAAAGGTGGGGCTACGGGCTGTGTAGCCCTCCCTGAATCTGATGTCAGAGATGCTAAATATATCAAACTAAAAGTACTGTTAACTTGATACACTTTGCATTCGTGGTGGTAATACATACACATTGGTAAAACAATCTGTTGAACAGCAGAGATAATAGGGCATCAAGTTTTCACTACATTCTGGACATAAATTTTGTATTTTGAAGTAATGGAAACCTTTATGAAAATACATGAAATACTACATTTGAAGCACAGAATGTCTAGTTTAAAGAAATTCACAGATATTATGGGTCATTTTACCTGGTGAGGTTTAATGAAGAAGGAGCTTTTTTAGTCAGAGCCTCAACCCCTTTGGTCTGGCAGAAATAAATTTAGGAACTCATAAAGCCATTCCATAGCTTAAGAACTCCTTCAGTAACAAGTGGCACCCTGGGTCCACAAAGGAGAGTTATCACAGATTCTTCCCTACAGCAGCTGTAACCATCACAGCTCCCAATAAAGATTAAAGTCAGAATTCTGAGGAAAAAAGTCAGAATTCTGAGATAAAAGTCGGAATTCTGAGATTAAAGTCGGAATTCTGAGATTAAAGTCAGAATTCTGAGAAAAAAGTCGCAATTCTGAGATTAAAGTAAGAATTCTGAAAAAAGTAAGAATCCTGAGGGAAAAAGTCAGAATTCTGAGATTAAAGTCGGAATTCTGAGATGAATTCTGAGATTAAAGTTATAATTCTGAGATTAAAGTCAGATTTCTGAGGGAAAAAAAGTCAGAATTCTATTATTAAAGTTAGAATTCTGAGAAAAAAGTCCGAATTCTGAGAAAAAAGTCAGAATTTTGAAATTAAAGTCAGAACTCTGAGGAAAAAGGCAGAATTCTGAGAAAATAGTCAGACTTCTGAGGAAAAAAAGTCAGAATTATAAGTAAAAAAGTCAGAATTCTGAGATTAAAGTCAGAATTCTGACTTTTTCTCAAACTGAAATAATATTTAATAATCTGTTGACTTTTTTTTGTTTGTTTGTTTATCCATCGGCCCTAGTCCTCTCCCGTATAGAATGAATAACTGCCGATACTTCATTTATTTCTATTTTTCTACTTCATTTTGATTGAGGAATTAGTGTACAGAGTGAGACCTCTTCGTCCGCGCAGCATGCAACGTCACGATGTCCTTCACGTGACGTAAATCTTGTGTCGTATGCGGAAGCGTCTGCGCTTTATGAACTGTTCGGCTGTTTCTCATCCTCCTTTTCCGACTTCACCGATTATTATTGTTGTTTTGACACATAAGGCTGATATTTTTTGGCTCCAGTAAATCCTTAAGATGTGTTTATTTGACGTTCAGCGAGTACAGAGGACGTGACGGTGACAGAAAAGACAGAATGAGCTCCAGCCGGAGGAGGCCTTGTTGTTTACTACAGCGGTGAATTAGTGCGGCTTTATGGAGGGTTTCTAGTAGAGAGTGATGGTGAGGATACTGGGAACATAAATAGACCAGTTATTGACCAACATGGAGGAGAAATACAGCAGCAACGTGCTGTCAGGAAAACTGGGGATGGTGGAAGTTCCTGATTCAAGGTAACATCTGTTCAGGTTTTTTGTTTAGTTTTGCATTCGCAAATGATAAGACGCAGGAATGTTCACTTTCTAACAAAATAAAAATTACCAATTTAGGTCCGGTTGGATATCCGATGTTAAAGATTTTTTTCTCTTAAAGCCAGAACAAAAAATAGTCAGTTTTATATATATTTTTCTCATTATTTAAGTCAGAAAGTTTTCATCCAATGTTATTTTTTATGGCTTTAATACATTTGGAAAATCCCAGATATTAAAGCTTTGTTTGCCTCTGGTTGGGTAAAACTCAATATTTTAGTAAAATGGAGGCAGACCTGTATGGAGAGCCTTTTTATATAAAATTAAATGAATAAATACATGAATAATAAAGCTAATTCTGCCATTAATAAAATATTAATAAATATCCTATGAAATAAATGTCACCATGAAGTAAAAAAGAAATGTTTTAAGATATTTGTATCTTATTTTATTTATTTCAGAATTTATTTATTTACTTGTATTTATTTATCTAATTTATTTTATCTTCTTGACACTTTTATTTTGTAAAGTGGCTTTTATTTTTTAGGAGCCCTACTTTTTGTATTTGCTCTGTTTCAATGGAGGCAATTTTTTTTACTTTTTTTCTAATATTCTATATAAACTTTTAAGTTTAACAGTAGGGTTGGAACTAATGATTATTTTGCAAATCGACAAATCTGTCGATTATTTTATTTTTTTGACAGCAAAAGGTTCCTTAAAGAAGAGATTTTGTGAAATTAAATCAGGTGAAACTAAAACTTTTCCACTTCAGGAGTTCTGGATATATCATATTGACAGATGAAAAAAATGTAATCTTAAATACGAAATATTTTAAATTTTTTATTTTTACAATTTTGATATAATTGCTGCTCTAAATGGGTTGCTTTGTCAGCTAAAAGCATGTTTTAGAGTCTCTACACTCCAGTTATCGATTACTAAATTAGTTGAGGTTTGTTTCAATAATCGATTAATAATGATTGTTTCAGCCCTATTTAACACAATTACAAATGTGTTTTAACAAAGGATGGCAATCAAGAATTTGGTGCACTACCGCCACCGACAAGTAAGGAGTGTAGATCAGGAATAGCATTCTCAAAGAAAGAAGAAAGTATATGCTATAGCTCACATGAAAGGTATAATTTCTTAAATAACTTACAATATGGTGCTGTACATTTTCCTGTTGTAGAGTTCCTATTAAAGCAATGCTGTATAACTTTTGACCCAATTATTACACTGGAAAAATAAGTAAAATAAGTACTTTTTTCTTAAAATAAGTGCATTTGTTCTTGGATTGAGGAG